GCCCCGAGCTCCAGAAGCGCGACCCTGACGGCGACCGTACCAATCGTGCAGCTGCTGTGAGGTGAGAGGCACATGCGGACGAAGTCGGCTACTCCAAGGAGACTGCGCAACAGCATACTCAGAACCCTCAGGCGTCGCACCTCCAGCACCAACACCCACAGCAGCTCCAGAACCTCTAGCTCCAGCGCCACCAGCCCCACCAGCGCCAGCACCTCCAACAGCTCCAGAACCTCCAGCGCCAGCGCCCGCAGCAGCTCCAGAACCTCCAGCTCCAGCGCCACCAGCGCCAGCACCTCCAACAGCTCCAGAACCTCCAGCGCCAGCACCCGCAGCAGCTCCAGAAAGCTCCAGCGCCACCAGCAGTAGCACCCCCAGAGCCGGCACCTCCAGCTCCAGGGCCTCCAACCTCAGAGTCGACAGCAGCACCTCCAGGTCCAGCAGGGCCTCCAGTCCCAGCAGCTCCAGTACCTCCAGTACGAGCACCTCCGGGACCAGATGCTCCAGGAACTCCAGTAGAAACAGCTCGAGTAGCAGAGTCACCAGCTCGAGCGCCTCCCGCAGCAGGGCCCCTAGCTCCAGCAGCGCGACCCTGACGGCTAACGTACCACTCACGCAGCTGCTGTGGGGAGAGAGGGAGACGACGACGAGAGTGCAGCGGCGAGGCACCAGCAGAGCGACTACGGAGACGGCTGCTCCAGGGAGACTGCTCACCAGACGCCGCAGCGCCCCCAGGTGCAGCACCCCCAGACTCAGCACCCCCAGGCTCAGCACCTCCAGGCTCCGCACCCCCAGGACCAGCACCCCCAGAAGCAGCACCCTGAGCAGGACCACCCTCAGCAGGACCTGAGTCACCAGTGACCTCAACCGGCGCAGTCAAGGGAGGAGGGTCTACCTGGGAGCAGGTAGACACCCTCCTCCCTGATCCTATTTGAGACACACATGAAGGAGCAGGACCGGGAGCAGGGAGGGGGGCTACCTGGGGAGCACCTGGTGCGAGGAAGAGCGGCGGGGGGGGGAGAGGGGCAGTGCGGTAGGGGAAGAGACGGTAAAAGGAAACCGACTCGTCGAACGTGACGTCCCGAGAGGGGAAGATACGGCGCGAGGTGGGGTAGTAAAACTGCCAAACAGGCACGTCAGGGACAAAGCCAAGGAAGACACAGGGAACAGCGCGGGCGGAGAGCTTGTCCGCGGTGGTATCGCGGACAAAGGCACGAGAACCCCAGACCCGGAACACGGACGCATCGCCAACCTCTCCCGTCCACCGCAGTGGGGGCGAGGTCTCCGGCAAGGAGACACGGGACCAGAGGTTGAGCTGATGCGCGGCATAGCGGACCGCAAACGGCCACCGAAAATGGGGGGCAGCCGCATGGACCATGGAGGTACGAGCGACCTCCATGACCAAGCCAATGCGGCACTCAGCAACCCCATTCTGCTGCGGAGAGGCCGGAAGCGTGAACGTCTGGCGAATGCCCTCCCCACGACAAAAGCTCTGCAGAAGGTTGGAGGAAAACTCCCCACCTCTGTCAGAGTGCAGACGCGGGACGGGAAACTCCGTCCCGAACTGCTCGTGGAGCTGGAGACGGGCAGCGCGGATCCAAGGGATCAAAACATCAGGGACCTCACCCTTGGTGCGCAAGGGGAAGACCGTGGTGTAACGCGAGTAGTCGTCAACAACCAGCAGGAAGTACCGCTCGCGGTCCTGCCCACTGACGCGGGCTGGGCCCCACACGTCCATGTGCAAGGTCTGCAGGGGAGCAGTCGTCGGGGGAAACGAGGAGGATTGAGGAGCGGCGCGCTGCCGCCCCTCGACACAGGGAAGACAGGGAGGAGCAGGCGAGGGAGGGAGGGGAGGGAGAACCCTGGGAAGACCAGAGACAAGGACACGGCGGTGCATGCTACGAAGGCGCTGCACCGAGGGGTGACCAAGACGGTGGTGCCAAAGGAGGGTCTGGTGCGACAAAGTGTGACACGAGCAGGGGGCCGCTAGCTGACCTGACGCAGACGCGGACGCAGCGACCTGAGGGGACACAGTAGTCAGTGTGTACAGACTCGAGCCAGGCGCACGGGTAAACGTGGCCAGGTGCCGGCCCGTCGGGGAGCACGTACAGTGGGTCACGCGCTGACCTCCAGGAGTGAACTGGTCAACCCACTGGTCCTAGAGGTCAGCACCACTCACCAAGTTCGTAGAGAACGAGGGGAGGTGAAGGCCTGACAGGGAGCCAGACGGGACCGCCGGACACGGCAGGACTGCGGAGGAGTGCGCAAGGACTGGACCCCCAGAGGGGTCTGCCAGGGAGACTGCAACCGGCCGACTGAGCGGTGTGAGGGTGGTGCTGTCGCGAAAGAAGGAGCGGGAAGCACCCGAGTCAAGTGTGAAGGTGTACAAGGCCTCAGCGGGCGCAGTACCAGAGAGAGCAGACTCACCAGCACCTGGAGCAGTAGCCTCATCAGCACCTAGAGCAGGAGACGCACTAGAACCTAGAGCAGCAGCCTCACCAGCACGTAGAGCAGGCGACGCACTAGCACCTAGAGCAGCAGCCTCACCAGTACCTAGAGCAGCAGGCTCTATACCTGGGTCAGGCGGTACGCACAGGTAACAGGCACCGTCCGCACTAGTAGGCAATGCATACATAGAAGTGAGAATAGCATCAGAGTCAAGAGCAAAGAGATCTACCCTCTGCCTAAGCAGCTCCAGCCAGGTGGGGAGCTCAGCCTCGTCGCCAAACTAGGTACGCCAGGCGTCGCTCAGACGGGCGAAGCAGCGGGACAGTGTGTGAACAAGCGTCCCGCAAGCCTGACCAGCCCGATCACCTGTGCGAATGACGTACGGGCAGCGAACGGTACTCCGAGACCCTCTACTCTGAGCGTACCACTCGTAAAGCTGCTGGGACGTAAGTGTCTGGCCACTACAGCTGCAGCTGGCCACTGCCAGACGCTCCCAACTGACCAGCTCCAGGGCGACAGCTACGACGGCTACCGCCACAACCCCAACTAGCGTACCACTCACGAAGCTGCTAGGGCGGGAGAGACTCGCGTGGACGTCGCTGGAGCTGCATCTGGCCACCGCCAGTAGCAGCAGTAGCAGAAGTAGCAGCACTAGCAGCAGCAGCAGCCTAGCAGCAGTAACAGAAGTAGCAGCAGTAGCACCAGTAGCAGCGCGGGCAGGGCAGGTGCGGCAGGCAGGTGCGGCAGGCAGGCAGGTAGGCAGGCAAGCAGGCAGGCAGGCAGACAGGCAGGCAGATGACTCAGCAGCGCGCGAACAAGGTAGGTGCTCACCAGTGGCGGGAAGGGCAGGCGCTCGCCGGGCGAGCAGGGCCGGCGCTCGGCGGGCGGCGGCCGGGTAGGCGCACGACAGCGGCGACGGCGGGGCCGCGACAGCTGCAGCAGAGCAGGGACGCGTCGGCGGTAGAGCAGGTCCGCGACAGCTGCTGCAGGGCGGGGCCGTGACCGCTGCAGGGCGGGGCCGCGAGGACTGCTGCAGGGCGGGGCCGTGACACCAGCAGGAGGCTCCGCGGCAGCTTTTGCAAGGCGGGGCCGCGATCGTGGCAGGGCGCTCCGCGGCAGCTGCTGCAGGAGCGACGGCGGCAGTCAGGCAGGGGCGGTGTCCAGGGGGGGGGGGGGCGTCGCGACAGGCCGGGGCGACGTCCAAGGGGGGGGGGGGGGGCGCCGCGATGAACAGGGGCAGCCGCGGCGCGCGGGGCTGCAGCGGGCTACGCGAGCTGCAGACGCGGCGCGCGAAGCCGCAGCGGGCTGCGCGAGGACGGCAGCCGCAGCGCGCGGGGCTGCAGCGCGACGCGCGGGCAGCGGACGCGACGCGCGGGGCTGCAGCGCGACGCGCGGGCAGCGGACGCGACGCGCGGGGCTGCATCAAGCAGCGCGGGCTGCAGAGGCGCGACTCGGGCAGCTTGGGCGACGCGCGGGGCAGAAACCGGGCCGCGCGCAGGAATCAGGTTTGCGCGCTCTAAGCAGCAGCAGACCGCGCAGTCAGCAAACAGCAGGCAGCAGTCACAGTCTCAGTCGTGGGGTAGCGGTAGGTGGGCCCGAAAAAAAAGACGGTCCTACGGACCTACTGCTCTGAAACCATGTTAGAATCTAGAGACATGAATGATTGACTATTGGGAAGATGGGTACAAGTACAAACCCTAGCAATGTGTTGTACCCTATATGTGCTACCCCACTACAGCCTACACCCTAACATTATATATATAGTTTGACAGATCAAAGTAATCTACAATTATTAAATAGGCTCTGCCTGACTGATACCCTTCCCCAAATTCAAGTGTTCATCCTAAATCACAAGTTCCTAAGAGATGTGTCATATACCTAGCTATTGTTGGGGAATTTGTCAAAACTTCCCCGGGTCCTATGTGAGGGGGAAAATGGTACCAAAGAAGTGCATATGACGATAACAACATGCCTTCGAGGCGCAACGAAAACGCTGAAATGAAGTCATAAGAGGCAACCCATGAGACATGACCATAAACGAATTATACAGGTATGTCCACTATGGCCTCCTTGCAGCTTGCACCTTGCTGTGCTTGAGCGCATTCAGCTCATACGACTCCACCAGCTTTGTATCTGGAGGCCTCCACGCAAGGAATAACGGATCGAAGAAGAGTTCGTGCACAAGAGAGTGGTCAGCTGATAAGGCGGTTATACCCAGCACGCAAGAGGAATGATCATTGATGTATCTTGGGACGATAGTGGTCAGGTCAGGGGAAAGTCAGTAATATACGAAAAGCATGCTTATTGAACACATGATTTATCTGCATTGATGCCATCGGTGTGCTTGTAGCCGAGACAGACAAGAAAAGTGAACATATAAGGTTAAAGATTAGTAGATAGAGAATGTAACAGGCGAAGGGCACAGTTGTAACGCACGAATGTAAGGAGGAGGCGTACAGGAAAGAGGCTGAGCAAGAGTTACAGAAATGGGAGAGGAGGGAGCTGAAGGAAGGTTGTGGTTCTCACCTAGTCGTGGTGCAACAGCAGCCATGTGATCACATGACGCAGCAGAGCAGAGCCAGAAAAGCAGGCCACAGCCATGGGGTCAGCAAAGGCACTGTCAAGGAGGGGACACAGAAGAGGAAAAAGGGAGTGGGAAGGGAGAAAAAGGAAGGGTGTGCGCAGGGGTGACGCAAGGACTGATGAGGTGAGTAAAACGATACAATTATACACGATTGTGATTGCAGCAACCGGAAAAACCGAGGCAGTGCATGCAGGCAGGCTCACCAGTGGCGGTGGCGGCCTTGGGGAGGGAGCCTGGTGAGCCTGGTGAGCCTGTTGAGCCTGGTGAGCCTGGTGAGCCTGGTGAGCCTGCTTGCACCAGAAGGGCACATGTGGAGCCACTGCCTGAGTCGAGAGCAGAATAGCCGGCATCACAGCGGCACGTGAAGTTGGACGGGGAGGAGGGTGCAGCAGGCAGCACACACACCCCATGGCCGTCGCACGGGCCGTTGGCAGTGATGCCGCAGAATGCCCGGCAGGCTTCCGAGCTGCGCTGGGTGGCGTTAAAAGAGCACTCCGTGTCCGGGGTGAGAGTCAGGCAGTTTCCCGCCACACTCCCCCTCACCTCCTTTCCTGCCCATGTCACTGAGTAATCCTGCAGGCCAAATGTAGTAATTTTGCACTTTCCGGCAAATGCATCAAAGGTGCTGGGACTACTCGGGTTGCTTGACCCGCTGGCCTCCATGGGGCAGACCCGGGTGCCGGCAGCAAAGAGCAGAGCATCGCCGGAGAAGAAGTTGTGCGCCAGGTTGATGAGGGCATGAGCATCCGGTACCATGCCCTTGAAGTCGAGGCTGAGACGCCCGTACAGGCTGTTGTGGCTCACGTCTCTGTGGGAGCCACATGCAGGGCAGAACGTGGTGTTGGAGAGTTTGACACTAAACGGTACACTGAACGCACACATTTCGTGCAGTGTCCTTATTGAGCGGGCAAGCTGATGGATGGATGGATGCATGGTATTGGGAAATGAGTAGAGTAGCTGTGTTGGCTCACATCTGGTTGACACACTTGTCAAAGAGGCAGTCTGGCAGGGGCCCGTAGAGAGAGTTGTTGCTCAGCAGGCTGCACAAAGTACACCATGTTTCACCAATCATCACACCCATATGAAATGGTACAGGAACAAAGATGCGGCACCTTGTCAAGGTTCCTTCCATTCCACAAACATCCAAATAAACATGCTCCAAGTCTTAACGCTGGTGTGCAATGTTCCTGGCTGGAAAGTGCCTAAACAAGGCTTTGCGAAAGTAATGCTCGCATTTCATTCATATAAATTCTCACTCCTGCATGACAGCTACTCACACGGGCCACAGCTACTCACATCCGCCGCAGCCACTCACATGCACCACAACCACTCACATGCGCCACAACCACTCACATGCGCCACAACCACTCACATGCGCCACAACCACTCACATGCGCCAGAACCAGTCACACGCGCCACAACCACTCACATGCGCCACAGCCACTCACATGCGCCACAACCACTCACATGCGCCACAACCACTCACATGCGCCACAGCCACTCACATGCGCCACAACCACTCACATGCGCCACAGCCACTCACATGCGCCACAGCCACTCACATGCGCCACAACCACTCACATGCGCCACAGCCACTCACATGCGCCACAACCACTCACATGTGCCACAGCCACTCACATGCGCCACAACCACTCACATACGCCACAACGACTCACATGCGCCACAACCACTCACATGCGCCACAACTACTCACATACGCCACAACTACTCACATGCGCCACAACCACTCACATGCGCCACAACCACTCACATGCGCCACAACCACTCACATGCGCCAGAACCAGTCACACGCGCCACAACCACTCACATGCGCCACAGCCACTCACATGCGCCACAACCACTCACATGCGCCACAACCACTCACATGCGCCACAACCACTCACATGCGCCACAACCACTCACATGCGCCACAGCAAGGGAGGCGAGCAGAGGGCAGATGGGAGAGGGCCGTCGATGTTGTTGTTGTCCAGCCAGCTGGGGTACGCACGCACAGCAGTGGCAGCAGCAAGGCGCCGGCAGTGGCATGAGGAGTTGAAGGGTCGTTAGGGGATGGCACAAGTGACGCTATCAGTTTCGATCTGAACATGATATGAAATGCTACAGTTGTTGTGGTAACATTCACAGTAAGCACTTGGCTCGTGTAACCTGTATTGGCTCTACAAAGCATATAGTCAAGGGATGTAAAGGAAAAAGGGACACAGGAGCTCACAGCTGCTCGAGCTTCTGCAGTTGACTGATGGCAGCTGGCAGACTACCGGTGAGATGGTTGTTGGCCATGTAGCTGCGGGGTGGTGGCAGGCAGGCAGGAAGGGAGACCGGGAGACATCTTGGGGCGTCTCATAACAAAACTCGATCTTGAGACGTCTCAAAACTCAGCTGGCAGACTATCAGTGAGATGGTTGTTGGCCATGTAGCTGACAGGGTGGTGGCAGGCAGGCAGACATTTCAACGAGGCGTGGCATACGGCATGGTGCAGGAAAGCGCCATGGGGCAGTGGTGGGAAGAGTTGATGCGCTCTGGGGGCTTACAGGGATTTGAGATTGGTCATGGTGAACATGGCGGATGGGATGGTGCCTGTAAGCTGGTTGTTGTTGAGAATGCTGCAGAGCATGGGGAGGGAGGTGCACATGGGGAGGGAGGTGAGCATGGGGAGGGAGGTGCACATGGGGAGGGAGGTGCACATGGGGAGGGAGGTGAGCATGGGGAGGGAGGTGCACATGGGGAGGGAGGTGCACATGGGGAGGGAGGTGCACATGGGGAGGGAGGTGCACGTTTAGCCATTGCGAGAAGCGTATGGGCTGAGCGCGCATCGCCTGCCACGGCTGGCGTGCTTCGACGAGCACACACTTGAAGACTGATTTCACACCTGCCATGGCAGGGCATTCTGATACAACAATCCACATTGCTCACTTGAGAATGTTCTTTCCACGATGTGTTGAAGGGCATGTGTTGAAGGTGTCCCAAAGCAAGAAGAGGCTCACATGGCTTCGAGAGTGGTGAGGGTGGAGAGGGAATCGGGAATAGGCCCAGTGAAGTTGTTGCGGCTGAGATCTCTGAGACACAACACAGACGACGCAGTAACAGACCCGAGTGGGTTGGTTGGCAGAGGCTCAACAGCTGGTCGTGGGTGCAGTGCAGTGCAGTGCATGCACGTCAATGACGCCGTGCTGGCCAGCGCGATTGAGCAATCGAGTAGAGAGTGGAAATTTTGAAAGTGTGAGTGGAGGGAGATATTATGGGAAGGCTTACAGCTACAGAAAGCTGACATTCCAGTGGTTTTTGAGACGTCTCAAAATATATTATGGCAAGGCTCACAGCTCACAGCGAAAGTAGACTCACAGCTCACAGGTGTGTTTTGAGTCGACTCAAAAGATATTATTGTAAGGCTCACAGCTTACAGCGAAAGAAGACTCACAGATTTAGAACGCTGACGTTCCAGCGTGAGAAGTCTGGCAAGGCGCCTGTGAAGCCGTTCCCTTCGAGGTTCCTGCACAGTGCACGAGCAGCAAATGAAGACTCGAGGCGCTGGACGTGAAGCGCGCAGAGAAAAGCATGGCACCAGACGCACACAGTGATGGCAGCACACACACAGCGATGGCATGGCAGCACACACACTGGTTGCACTGCTTACAGATAATTAAGAGAAGTTGAGGCAATGAGAGTTTTTGGAAAGGAGATGCTTGTGTTGGCTACAACCCTGTGGTGGGATGGAGGCGACAAAGCAGGAGGGTGGTTCCATGCAGCTGTTAGAAACGGAAAGAAGCACCCTCCCTCTTTGTTGTCCCAACTGCCTACAAACATGCATGCATGTTCGGGCGCTAACAGACAACAAGTACGGAAAGGTGATGGGGAGTTGAAGACTGAGGAGATGCAGGAGGCTAGACACAAAGCAAGCAGCAGAGCAAGCACATTCCATTCATTCCACTCCGCGTGAGTTTGGAAGCATACCGATTTCAGAAACACAGGTTCAAGCTATAGCACGGCTCTATAGTTAGAAAAGGATCTGGAAGCAGGTGTACAGGGCTAGAGCTGCGGAGCTGCTTACAGTGAGGACAGGGTGGGTAGCTGAAACAGAGCGGAGGGGATAGCTCCACGGAAATCGTTGCCACTAAGATTGCTGGGGGCAACAGTGTCACAAATCGAGGTGGAAGGAGATAGTATTGTTCTGTTCTCTTCCTTGTGCAACGGAAGTCCCAATGTGAATGCGTTCTTTGAGTCCCACTTGAAATGGAATCCTACGGACACATGGACAGACTTGCTGAAGGCTCCTCAACCCAACCCAATGCCCTGCGCGGCGATTCTTCTTCACCCGCTCATGTCCTACCCACCTTTTTCAAACCACAACACTAACACCTGAGGTGAACCCACAAAAGCGAGTGTGGTGGACGAGGCAGCAGCAGCATGCCACTCACTCACATGATCATAAGCTCCACCAGTCTGGTCAATTCACGGGGGATGGTCCCGGTGAATCTGTTATTGCCCAAATTCCTGCCATTGCATGGCGTATGCGATTGCAACATATATAAGTAAGAGTCTTACTGTAAGACACTTCAAGAAGGCACTCGAAGGAAGATGCATCACGATCTGATGGAATCGGCAGCAGACAGCAGCTCCACGTGTAGCGGGTAACTGTTAGAATACCTTCATTCTATTTATCCTACACGCGCTAGTTGGGTTTTGGCTCCAACCAACCTTGGCCAGAATTTCTGGCTCCATAAGGTTGAATTTCGAACTTATTTGTGGGACCAAAGATCTTGGCAAAGCTTCCACCTGGGCATGATCAAAAGGCGAACGTGAACAAGCAAGTCCTCCCTGAGCATGCACAAACATGTTTGGTTCGGGCCGAACCTTTTTTGGTATATGACCTGTTCGATATTCGAACATCTCCTCGAACGTGTTTCAATTTGGTTCTACTTTCTACCCCCCGTTTTCCAGTTTCCGACAGGGGGAGAAGCTGGAAGATAGTTGGGAGGTTTAGGGAATTTGACAAATTAACATGCTTAATTAAAGAAACATCAAAATGGTTGACCCATTCCCAAAGTCAAACATTATTTGCTCGGCGCGAATAGGTTCTTAGACGAACTGAACCGAACATGTTTGTCTCAAATGTGCACGTGAATCATGATCGGGCTGAACAATCTCAGGGGAAAAATTATATTGTTCGGTTCACCGAACAGGTGTTGGGTTTTTGCTCATGCCTAATCGTAACCAACCATCCTATTCTAGGTCTTCTTCACCCCATGCTGCTAATCCGATATCACCTTTTTTCACATTCCATTTGCATCTTTCACAGAATTTCAACAGCAACGTGCCCTTGTTTCCAATGAAGTTATTGTTGCAGGGCAATGTGCATGAGTGGACTCCGTACAGGAGGGCAAGGCTCTTGAGGTGCAGGACACAATTAGGCATGATCATTAGGCCCGACCCGACCCGACCCGACCCGACTTGGGCGGGCCAGCCTGGTTCCGGGTCGGGTCGGGTCGGGTCGGAACTTCAAAAAATCCTGGCCCGACCCGGGTATCGGGTGCCGGGTCAGGCGTGACCCGCCCCCGGGTCGGGTCGGGTAGGGGCCGGGTCGGGTCGGGTCGGGCCAGGACCCCATATGCAGGGTAAGAGGTTCTCCTTACTACTGTGCGGTGTTGCACTGATTGAATATTTGTGTAATGTTATTATATGAACGTCCTCCATTTTGTAACTAGACTATGGGGGGTCGCGTCACTATCGATGCGGGCCTGGTAGGCGCGCAGGGGGCGATTAGAACGCGGGACCAGAGTTTAGTCGCTTGTGAGAGCTAAGAATAACTATTTCTATAGAATCGAATATCTCTGCCTGATCGTGCTAGGTTAAAAAGACCCTTATGCCAACATGGAAACACTAGTAATAGTGTTCCTTAACATGGGCGCGGGTTTAGAGAGTAGTAGAGCTTGAGAACGATTGCTTGCTAGCTGCCTAGGTATTGCAGATCGAAGTCAATGTCGAGGGAACAAACAAACCCTAGACATTGACTTCGCGATCTGCTTTAGTGCAAATTGTCGAGGGAGGAAAAGTCGGGTCGGGCCAAATACTCGACCCGACTTAGGGCGCGGTACCCGAAACCGGGTCGGGTACGACTTCGGGTCTAAATCTGACCCGACCCGACCCGACCCGACCCGACCCGGTTTCGGGTGTCGGGTCGACCCGACCCGACCGGGTAAACCCGACCCGACCCGGCCGGGCCAGCGCTTCAAAATGCCTGACCCGACCCGCCGGGGCAGGATGATCATGCCTAGACACAATCGGGGAAGGTTCCCGTGAAGTCGTTGTCCCCTAAATCCCTGAACCATTACGAGAGGTGGGAAGTGATGAAAACACGTCCGTGCAAAAGAGGGTATGGAAACATGCCGCACATTCTGGCACTCAACTCAATTACAGACCGCGGGATACGTTTGCGAACACGTGGGCACGGGACGGCGGCCTCTTCCATTCCAGTTGCATTCATGCACACTACTTGCATTTACGATTACTCTCAACAAGACAGGCATGTTAACGTGTGAAGGTGCATCGATGCACTCATCATGCGATCGTGCATGACGAAAAAAGATGCTCCTTAAGTGAGTATAAAGAAAGCCCATAATGATGAAGGTGTGCTTGGAATAGAGACAGCTGCAACTCCTCTGACTGTTGCTGCATCCCATAAAGGCTAGTGCAAAGAAGGGAAATTGCACTGATGAGGTGAGAGATGGGTGGAGCAGATTCACAAGGATATGAGGCCCTTGAGTGCTGTGAAGGTCGCTGGAACCAGCCCGGAGAAGTTGTTTGTAGAGAGAAACCTGCACCGCCAGCCAGGAAGGAAAAATGTGGCTCAGATGTTGAGGTAGGCAGAGAAAAAGAAAGAAAACTGGGAGAAAGGAAAAAATAAATCAATAAGGAGGCTGCTGAGGAGGCGAAGGGAGGTGGACACTCACACGTCTGTGAGCCATGTCATCTGAGCCACGACGTGAAGGCCTGAGCTGAGGCTGTTGTTCATGAGGGGACTGTCAAGTCGTTCAGACAGACATGGCATGGTATGAGCACAAAGATCATTAACTTTGTCACGTTCTCAAAGTGGTCTTAAGTGGTGCTCTTCTTTGGTTAAAAGAGAAACAACCGAAAAAAAAGAAGGCATTCGTGGTGTTCAGATTAGAGGACTTTCTTATGAAACTGAACTGAAGTTGCAGCATGGAGGTGTTTTTCAGCCCATTCCTGCATGTTTCCCTTTAGTGGCCATTCAAAATACATGTGCGGCAGCTTTTAATTCCTTCATGAAAAATAGGGGTGTCAGGGTGGGGAAGGGTGAGAATCGAATCGACGGCCGTATCCAACAAGAAGCTGCCGTAATCAATCGGAGAATCGACCTGTGGAACTGTATTCTACAAATGGATCGTAGCGTGTGAGGTGCGACGATGCAGCCAATTTCACTCTGGTCATTTTCTTGGACAGTGGACTCTCAGTTTGAGAGCACAGAAGTTTAGTGCAGCTGGGTATACACTGCTACGGGAATTACTGTTACAGGAGGCACACGATGGAGTTACCTCGGGGCATTTCGGAGTAGGAAAAACACGGCAGCAGCTGCAGCGGTATTATTACTGCCCCGAAATGTTGACCGACGTACAACGACACGTGGCATCGTGTCCCACTTGCCAGCTCATGAAATCATCACGGCAGCGGCCGGCAGGACAGTTGCAGCCGATACCACCCCAAGAGCGTGCTTGGCAGCAGGTAACGATGGACTTCGTCACGGGGTTACCGGCCGGGGCGAGTGGGAACGACGCGATCTTGGTCGTCGTCGATCGACTGACGAAAATGGCATGCAGACCGGACATGTGAAAGACGAGTCTACGGAAGTCATTGACTGGGCCAAAGGGCACCCCTCTGCCTATTCCCTTGCCTCCTTTGCTCCACTCATCCTCTCTGTACAATCACGGCTCGCGAGTGCCATTATTGTCGAGAGAAGATGAATGAAGCAAATGAAGCAAATGAAGCAAATGAAGCAAATGAAGCAAATGAAGCAAATGAAGCAAATGAAGCAAATGAAGCAAATGAGGCAAATGAGGCAAATGAGGCAAATGAGGCAAATAAAGCAAATGAAGCAAATGAAGCAAATGAGGCAAATGAGGCAAATGAGGGAAATGAGGCAAATAAAGCAAATGAAGCAAATGAAGCAAATGAGGCAAATGAGGCAAATGAGGCAAATGAGGCAAATGAGGCAAATGAAGCAAATGAAGCAAATGAAGCAAATGAAGCAAATGAAGCAAATGAAGCAAATGAAGCAAATGAAGCAAATGAAGCAAATGAAGCAAATGAAGCAAATGAAGCAAATGAAGCAAATGAAGCAAATGAAGCAAATGAGGCAAATGAGGCAAATGAGGCAAATAAAGCAAATAAAGCAAACGAAGCAAATGAAGCAAATGAGGCAAATGAGGCAAATGAGGCAAATAAAGCAAATGAAGCAAATGAAGCAAATGAGGCAAATGAGGCAAATGAGGGAAATGAGGCAAATAAAGCAAATGAAGCAAATGAAGCGAATGAAGCAAATGAAGCGAATGAAGCAAATGAAGCAAATGAAGCAAATGAAGCAAATGAAGCAAATGAAGCAAATGAGGCGAATGAGGCGAGTGAGGAAAATGAAGCAAGAAAATAGGCAGAGGGGTTCGAACAGACAGAGAAAGGAAAGTATGCGAGGAGGAAGACAAGATGAAGATGGATTGGCAGTGGAGTGAGATTGGGACAAGAAAGAAGGGATGGAGGACCAATGGGGATGGCATGGACGACATGGAGGGAAGAGTGAAAGAAAAACACGTCTTGAGCTCAAAAGAGGGCGAACAGTAAGAGGTGAAGGGGGGGAAGGAGGTGTGTTGGTATAGGTTTGTCGAGTGAGATGGGTCAGTTCGGGTGCTGTGGTTAGGTCAGAAAGGGCAAGGCAAGAGGCAAAGAGACACGCATCCTGTGGATGTCAATGAGGAAGACATGGCACGCTGAATGAGCTATGCTGAATGAGCTATGTTGAATGAGCTATGCTGAATGAGCTATGTTGAATGAGCTATGTTGAATGAGCTATGTTGAATGAGCTATGTTGAATGAGCTATGTTGAATGAGCTATGTTGAATGAGCTATGTTGAATGAGCTATGCTGAATGAGCTATGTTGAATGAGCTATGTTGAATGAGCTATGCTGAATGAGCTATGTTGAATGAGCTATGTTGAATGAGCTACGTTGAATGAGCTATGTGTTAGTGTTAGCCCTCAATCTCACACTTTGTACTTTATATTTTCTACATCCTAGAGTAGTGTAGTTAGCACTTTGTGTTTGGTTGGGTGTACACCTACATCCCAACCAAACCCAAATGTAATCTCCAAGCAATCTCCTACCCACCAATTGGAGATTGCCTTGGGATTACCCCCAATCCCTAGGGATTGCCCCCGATTCCCTTCCCCATCCATTCCCTACCCTTCTTGGATGTACTTAAAGAGCTTCAAGCTCATTACTAATGTATCAGTTCTAAGCCTAAGTTGTAACATGGTATCAGAGCGATTCAACCGCACACGCGGATCATGATCCTCTTATCTCTGCGGATGCTCGTCCCGCAAACCTCGGCGTAACCACCTTCAATCTCGTCGCCGGTGATTCGCGACATTCGTGGGCGGAAATTCTCCCGCACCACCTTCCCGTCACTTTCAACGACATCTACGATTTCTCTGGTAAGCGCATCGTCGTCGCTATAACCTATCGCTCGCTTTTGTCGAACGTCATCGCGTCTTTTCTTCTCCTCGTCGGGCCGCCACCCGTCGCCCTGCAGCTTCTCGTCGGGCCGCCGCCCGTCGCCCCGCAGCTTCTCATCGGGCCGCCGCCCGTCGCCCTGCAGCGTCACCTTCGGGCTGCCGCCCGTCGCTCCGCATCTGCACTCCTACCCCCATCCCCCCTTCCCGCAACTGAACAGGTGCAGCAGCGCAGCCGAGCAGCAGCGTAGCCGCGAAGCTGAGGGTGGTGTGTGGGGGGGGTGTGTGGGAATAGGATTAGCAGGTAGTTGACACTAAATTGGCGTTTCCGTCAAATTCTCCTTCAGAAACCCTAAACCTCCGATTCTTCAAAATCTCCTTCGGAAACCCCAAACCTCAAGTTCTTATCGGTGACTTAAGAGCGGCACTCCGCGCGAGACACTAAGGGTTCTTCATCATGGCATTTGCCTCGTCCACCATGGCCAACCCCATCACCCCACTCCGCCTTGAAGCCGATGGCTCTAGCTCCAACTTCAAGGCATGGAGCTATGGGGTTGACAAGCACCTCATGGGTCGTGACGTGCAAGGATTGGATCTCAAGGACGTCCTCCTCAACCGTGGCAAGGGAAAACAGCCCCCAATCCCCCGTGAGCCGACCGAATCCGCTAGTGATACTGACATGAGGGCGTACGAGGAAGCCGTTGAAAAGTACCGGAAATGGGAGAAGGCCGATGCTGCTATCATCAGTGTCTTCATTGCCTCCACCCCTCCCGAACTTGTCAACACGATCCACAACTACTCTACCTCCAACGACATCTGGAAGTACCTCCAGGATCGGTTCATGAACAAAACGGCGGTCGGAGTTGCCATCCTCATCCCCAGCATGTTCCAGGTCCGCCTTGAGAATAACTCGGGAATGGCTGACTACATCGCCAAGGTGCAAACTATTCATGGCGAACTTAAGGAGCTGGGTATAGTCTTCCCCGAACAAGCCCATGCAGCCGCCCTTCTAGTTGGTCTCACCTCGGCATATGAAGTAACGAAGAAGATGCTCCTCACGCTCTCAGCGGAAGACCTCACCTTTGCTAAAGTCTCCACCGCACTCCTCTCTGCCGAGAAAGACTCCACGGCTCAGGCCAAGGCTTACGCCATCCGCGCTCCCATGCTGCAAGCAAGTGTCGCATCGGCCCTCGCCTCGGCGCCCTTCCAGCGCAACCGCTTCCCTCCGTGCACCTACGTCGTCAAGTATGGCAACCGCAAGGGACAAGTGTGTGGTGGCACTAACCACCCCCTTGCGACGTGCTTCAAGAAGAAGGACGACGAATGGTATGCCATTCACGGAGTGGACAAGAAGCCACCAAACTGGATGCGCCCTCGTAAGGCCAACCTAGTTGAGGTCCAGGACCCCGCTTCGGCTAGTGCTAGTGATAGTGCTTCTGCTGATGTGCGTATCAACTTGTTGTTCCCTGGCACTGGCATGATTAATGAAGCTACCTCCCAATACATCGGTTCATCATAAGCACCACAATACATAGAGTTCACACTCGACAGCGGGGCCACCCACACTGTGCTCAAGGAGACACTCTCCTTCAAACCCTACGCAACACCCATTCCTCTCTTGGGAGCTGACTCAAGCTTCACAATTCTTGCCAAGGGTACATCCACAGTCCCGTGCCCCGCCTTCCCATCTGGCACTGTCACTAGTATGTGCGTGCCTTCACTACGCCACAATCTAGTGGCTCAAACGGAAATTCAGGACGCAGGACTACGCACAGTCTTCTCGGAGAACGAGGACCATTGCGACATCATCGATCCTCTCACCAACAAAATCCTAGCCCGCTTCACCCTCAATAGCAGCGGCCTCTACACGCTACGCGTACCTCTCCCACAGGTGTCAACCACCCAAGCACAGGCTCCTATCACACCATGCCCATGTCGCAGCCTCTCCAACCCGACCATTCTTTACCACCATCGGCTCGGGCACCCAAACTTCCGCACGCTTGCTGACATGGCCTCCAAGAAACTTCTTCTCGACCTGCCAGCCGCACTTCCTCCACCACCTGACTCACCCGCTC